TTTAGCAGTAATTCAGAAATATTTACAAGCATCATTGAAAATTTTAGAATTTGGTAAATGAATTTTTTGTAAAGTATATCTAAAATTCAATTTACATTTCTTGGGCCGGGCACAGTGGCTCACATCTGTAATCCCAGCCCTCTGGGAGGCTGAGGCGGCAGGATGGCTTAAGGTAAGGAGTTCGAAACCAGCCTGAGCAAGAGCGAAACCCCATCTCTACTAAAAAATAGAAAGAAATTGGCCAACTAAAATATATAGAAAAAATTAGCCAGTCATGGTGGCACATGCCTGTAGTCTCAGCTACTTGGGAGGCTGAGGCAGGAGGATTGCTTGAGCCAGGAGTTTGAGGTTGCTGTGAGCTAGGCTGATGCCACGGCACTCTAGCCCAAGCAACAGAGTGAGACTCCATCTCAAAAAATAAAAAATAAGGCTGGGCGCTGTGGCTCACACCTGTAATCCTAGCACTCTGGGAGGCCAAAGCGGAAGGACTGCTAAAGGTCAGGAGTTTGAAACCAGCCTGAGCAAGAATGAGATGCCATCTTTACCAAAAACAGAAACAAATTAATTAGCCAACTAAAAATATATATAGAAAAAAATTAGCCGGGCATGGTGGCACATGCCTGTAGTCCCAGCTACTTGGGAGGCTGAGGCAGAAGGATTGCTTGAGCCCAGGAGTTTGAGGTTGCTGTGAGATAGGCCGATGCCACTGCACTCTAGCCCAGGGAAGAGTGTGAGACTCTGTGTCAAAAAAAAAAAAAAAAGATATATATCTTGCCTTTCTTATACCTAAAAAATGTTTTCTGATCAGTAATGAGCCTTATGATTCAGTGTTTTATTTCTTGTACAATAAGCCTTTATGGAGAGTTATATTGGCAATCTTTATAGCCTGTATATTTTTATAAACAAAAATCCTAAATACTTCAGGGTACACATTTTCTAATCTGGTATGCATTATTATTTTTTTTTTTTTTGAGACAGAGTCTCGCTTTGTTGCCCAGGCTAGAGTGAGTGCCGTGGCGTCAGCCTAGCTCACAGCAACCTCAAACTCCTGGCTCAAGCAATCCTCCTGCCTCAGCCTCCCAAGTAGCTGGGACTATAGGCATTCGCCACCATGCCCGGCTAATTTTTTGTATATATTAGTTGGCCAATTAATTTCTTTCTATTTATAGTAGAGACGGGGTCTCGCTCTTGCTCAGGCTGGTTTTGAACTCCTGACCTCGAGCAATCCGCCCGCCTCGGCCTCCCAGAGAGCTAGGATTACAGGCGTGAGCCACCGCGCCAGGCCTTGGTATGCATTATTTTAATCATTGAATACTCATTCTTTTGCCCAGTTCCTACAGGTTACACTGTGTCAACAGGTACAGACCTTGTATTCCTTTTTCTCCCCTCTACTGTCTGATAACAAATCAAAGTGGGAACCCTAGGAATTGATGAAAAGAAAGCAAATGAATCCTTTGTCTCACTCTGCACAGATGCGCCGAACTCACATTTCCCAAAGGAGAAAGAAGAAATTCAAAACAAAATAAAGGTCACAAAATATATAACAAATGTTTAAGGAATCAAAATGTTCAAGGTCATTGCCAGATGATTGCAGTCACTAAAAAAAAAAAAAAAAAAAAAAATGTTCAAGGTCAGATGGCTTGCTCTGTGGAATTTTGGATGATGTGGTAAAAAAGGAAAATACTGAGGGCTAGATTCTAACACAACACACATTTCAGACAAGTTTGCACCTACATTCAACAAAGATGTGTCTGATTTTTTTTGAGGTTAGAATTTGGCAATTAATAATCTATTTAAAACCTTTAACAAAGAGACGCTGAAATGTAAGAATGTCAGTATTAAGATATTTTAGGAAAAATATCTATGAAAATCTGAAATTCAGAATTTGAAAGTGATAGCATTGAAAATATAAAGTTACAATATATATAGAGAGAAAATGTATATAATTTTTTTTCAGGCAAAAACAGAAAAAGGGAAAAAAGATGGCCCCTAAATTTAAAATAAGATGTTTAAATTACAGGTATGCCCATAGACATTTTAGCCAGACAACAATAAGATTTTCAAGTAGATAGATAACCTGTCAGGTCAATAAGAACAGTGTGTAGCAGGAACCATTGCAATGGACTGAGACTAGGCTAGAGGGAAAGCCAAAGGCAGCCTATTTTTTTTTTTAAGTGCCAAATGAGAATGACAATATAATAGGAAGAAGTCAATAGAAAGAATGAAAAGAAATTATCAGACACCTTTATAAAAGCCTGTCCAATTTAACACAACTTGTCTTTACACCTAGAATGCAAAGAAGAAATGACTAGCCTTTAAAACTTTATTAGAGAAAAGAAAAACCACAGGAGAAATGATCAAGATCAAAACCCCAGTCCTTAAGAGTTGAAAGCAAACATGGATTATAACTCTGTATATGAAGGGGATTCAGGTTGTGATTTAATATTTAATATGAAAAATATCACTGCTGAAACATTTCCCAGCATAAAGCCTATAATGTCTCTGAACTGTTTTTCGGAGTTCTGCATTTATAAGATACTGTCATTAATCTATTTCCTGCGACCAGCTTGGATAGGTAGGTAGTTACCTGGAAAAGGAAAGCAAAGCAGTCTAAATGAAGCAATCATAAGGCATCTGTGCTAATTTTCACAATTGAACAAAAAAACTTCCCAGACAGCCAACTACCAAAACAAAAATCACAAACCAAAGCTTTATAGTCTATACTGGTGTGATAGTGATTAGTGTACCACAAGTGCTAACATTATAATTGACTATACAAGTAAATAATTCAACTCTAAATTAAAATAGGGTCAATATTTATGCAATCAAGCAAAATACAGTAACCCTGTGTGTTTGATTTTGAACCAGAGCCCTTAGAACATTAAAGTTATTAAGTGTTCTAGGGGGCAGGAGGATGACAAAAATGACAATAGTTAATTTCATCAAACATTTGCAACTAATACAGAGTGGCTCTGTTCTTGGAATGGGGCCAATGTATTTGATTCCTTTTTTGATCAAAGGGGATTTATGATAGGAAGCAACTAGAAAACTTTCAAAATATTTTGGAAAGAAATTATATTGAGTTCTTTTAATCTTGCTTGGAAAAAAGAAATAAATGGAGGTGCAAAGGGAGAGAATAAAACAGATTTGCTACCACCTGTTCTCATTACAAAAGGCATTTATATCTATATTTTTTTGCACATTTCCTCTCACAATTTTCTTTGAAAAATGATGTCTAGTCTTTCTCGGAGAATAATTAAACAACACTGTACTAAAAAAAAAAAACTCAAAACAAAATCATCCCATATAAAGCTGAAGGAAAAACTAATCTGAGATACAGATACTTATGAAGGTTTATGAAGGAGGAACAGACAGGGTAAGATCTTTAAGGTTAAAAGGGTAAGCTCTCTGCTACATATTTTCGAAAAAGGGAATGCAATTAGAAAATAGTGAAATAAGTCTGGAATCAGTCCTTAATTAAAACAAGGAGGGACAGATACCCAGGATTCAGGGCAACAATAGGTTGCCCATCCCCAAATAATCTATCATCAAGCCAGGTTTGCTTAACTAGAATTACAGGTACAGTTCTCACATTAATATTTTTAGATAAATTTTCCACAGAAAGCAATTAGCATGAGGAGTATTCTGTTGTTGAAAATAAAATATTTCTGATTTTAACCATTTCTAATGTTTTCCCTTTCCAGTCTTCCTTATCCCAATCCTGAAACCCCTCCACCCAGAGTTCATGTATTTTTCTTCTCCATGTTAATGCAAACACACCACATTGATTGTAAGAACCTTACTAGATTTCCATTTGTTTTGCCTCAGCTCCTACATTAATCCAAACAATAAGGGCCTCTAAAACATTCATAAATAACCTGCTGCTGCTGGCACCTAGGAGTCAACTGCAGCAATGTTAAGCAACAACAAATTTCATACTTCAAGAGGCACAGTTAAGGAAAAAGGTTGCTCAGAAAATCACTCTTATTTAGCACAAAGATCCTTAAAAATTGCATGAAATCAGTCAAGTAACTATAGAAACCAATTTCTTCAGCTCCATATCACACGTCTCACACCTCAATTGTCTTTATTATCGTCTGCTGTCAGATCCTTAATCAGAAATGTGAACAGGCTTGATGATTTATTCAGGAGGGAAAAGAATCTGTAGGTCAAGTGAAAAATTTCACACACACACCCATACACACACCACATCTTCAACCTTAGGTACTTTCATTTCATTCTGTTCTCAGCAGCTCTGGGGGCAACTCCAGTGAGATCCAATATTAAGGCTCAATTAAAATAAGCTCCAATTAGTGGAGCTTTTTTCTCTGGGGCTAGAAAAGTCAGGAAATGGATATTGGGAAATGTAAAAAGTCAGCTACTGAGAGGAGGCTGCAGACATAAATGAACTTATTTGTTGATTTCTACAGTTGCTATGCAGAGGCCTCTGGGAGTAAAAGCTTAACCAGTCTAAGCTATAAACTAAAACCCCTGCAGCTAAACATGAACTGTGTGAAACAAGGGCTCCATTCCAGAACAGAAAACTGCTGGGCCCAGAAAATTAAAAGCCAGAGGCGTTTTCCATTTAAAACTAAATCCCAGTACCGCCTCCCAGCCAAAGAATTATAAGCAGTATCAGATTTACAAAACGAACAATTACCCTGGAAAAATGTAGCCTATTGTACAGTCCCAGACGCTAAATCTCAAAAGTTTCTTTTTTTTTTTCTTTAATCCCACATTATATTCCTCCAAGTACACTGCTGTAGTTTACAAAGCCATTTCTAGACAGGCCTAAGCCTTGAAAATAAATTTTAAAAAGAGAGCACATAACTCATTGACCTCATTTGAAGTACTGCCCTTGCCTTTAGCAGTTCCTGTCCTTCCCTAAGGCCTCTGCAAATGGTATGCAACAGCAAAATAAACCCTGACCTAATTGCCAGGAGAGAGCTGCCAACCTTCCCTCAGACACAAAGACAAGCATGGTAACTTGAAAGTCCTACCTCTTTGGCTTTCTGCTTTAATCTCAGCTGTTCTGGATCTTCTTTATTGGAACGACTCTATCAAAGGAAAAGAAAATTTTAATAGAAATTACTAGCATCTAAACACCACAGTTGCCGTTAAATATTTAATAAATGACAATTTTCTCTTGTGATTGAATATCTTAGCTCCAGGGGAAAATGCCTGAATCCAGTCTAGCTGTGCTCTCACCCTAACTCCCCCTCCCCTCCTCATCTGGGCTGGCTGCTGCAGCTCTATCTAGCCTGGAGGAAGCTTATACTGAAAATGATGCTAACAATGTCAGTCAGGTCCAGTTGAGGCATGACGTTGTTCTTGCTGGAACACTGAAAACTGAAAAATGGATAGTACACATGAAGGAAAAGAAAAAAAGAATAATTGTTGGCTCAAGTGAATGAAAGAAATCAACACTGGCTGATCTTGAGATGAAGCTAGTTTGGAAATACGTGGTATTTTCAAGGATTATTAAAATCAAGAACCTGACTAACCTTAAACCAAATCTCTCCTTTGAAAAGCATAATTCCAAAAGTGTAATTAGGAAATCCATCCCAATATTTTAATTAGAGTATCTCATCATCTTTGGGCCCTCTATAGCACTTAATAAAATGTTGTGCACAAGTAAATGTTCAACAAATGTTTATTTATTTTATTTTATTTATTTATTTTTTTTGAGACAGAGTCTCACTCTGTTGCCTGGGCTAGAGTGCTGTGGCATCAGCCTAGCTCATAGGAACCTCAATCTCCTGGGCTCAGGCAATCCTACTGCCTCAGCCTCCAGAGTAGCTGGGACTACAGGCATGCGCCACCATGCCCAGCTAATTTTTTTCTATATATTTTTAGTTGGCCAATTAATTTCTTTCTGTTTTTAGCAGAGACAGGGTCTCACTCTTGCTCAGGCTGGTTTCGAACTCCTGAACTCAAACGATCCGCCCGCCTCGGCCTCCCAGAGTGCTAGGATTATAGGCGTGAGCCACGGTGCTGGGCCAAGAAATGTTTATTGAATGTCACTTTTCATAGTACAGGACTGGCATAAGAAGAGAACTATCAAAAATAAAATATTTTTTTTAGAAAGAGCTATTATTTATAAAGCTATCATGGAATAAATGGTAAGGAACTTTATTTCTGACACCATTAACATTTGTCCACTGGAAAATATACTTGGGATAGGTGTATCTTTCTTCTAATCCTAACAAAGTTATTTAACTGCTTATAAATTTGAATATTTGTTCTATAAGGTGCAATCTTACCTAAGTTAAAGATAGCTAACAAAATATAAGCTAGAAGTATTTTCCTATTATTAAGTTTAGCTGATCTTTTATTGAATGACCAGTACTTTTGTTAAAGAAAAAAGAGATTGTTTAGATTTGAGTGTCTTTTAAATAGCTACACAAAATTCTCCCCAGAGATAGTAACTTTTTTCTTAATTGTAATCCCCAAACTGTTAAAACAATTTCATTTCAACCCAAACTAAGATAAACTCCTTTGTTTGTATAGCTATATAACATTAGGAGAGTGCAGGGTGTGGGGCAGTAAGGGGGCCCTGAGTATGCTTATATATGTGTTTATAGGTACCCGTGTATATATGTATGCAGATATGTATATAACTTTTTGCCCCAGTATAAAATGGGCACATGTGTGTATCGAATCTTTCCCTACATGTCATCAAGTATTTACTGGTTATCTACAGGACAGATTCTACTCTGTGTGCCACTGTTCTAGGCCTTGGAGATACAGAGATGAAATAACTAGACAAAGTCCTTGCTCTCAAGTATCTTACATTTTTAAGAAGAGAAAAATAAAACAATTTCATAAAAAGTAATCATATTTATAATATGTAAAACATTCCTGATGGGTAAAAATATAAAAAAATAATTGCTGGTACTAAGTGCTATAACAAAAATAGAATAATGTGATAAAAAGGAAGGGAATGGAATTTGGGTACTTCTCTAGCCAGGATGGTAGAGAAAGCATTTCTAAAAGGTGACATTTGAATAGAGATCTGAATGACAAGAAAGAGATAGTCATGCAAACATCTGGGGGAAGAACATTCTAAACAGAAAGACTCTAATTGCTAAAGTCTTAAAATGGGAATAAGCCTGGGCATATTTGAAAAAAGAAATAAGGCCCATGTGGTTAAAAGCATAGAGAAAAGTTGAAAGACAGAAAGGAGGAGATCATATGTTGCCTTGTAGGCCATGATAAGAAGTTGGAGGTTTAATTCTAGTTATAAAAACAAGCTACTGGAGGGTTTGGAACCAGGAGTAAGATGCCACTGATGTGACATTTTCAAAAGATGGCTCTGACAGGTATGTGGAAGGTGCACTGTAGGGATTAAGATTAAAGGTGCAGGCACAAAGAGCAAGGAGGAGACTGTTCTAAACCAGCTGTTGTGAATGAGACTGATTAGGAAAAAGATAAGGGCAGCTTGGACTAGCATCATAGCAGAGAAGATGATATTTAGTTATTCAAAACATATCTGGCAGGTAAAGCCAATCAGATTTATTGATGGACTTGATATGGGTTATGAAGTAAAGAATTAAGAATGATGCCTAAGATTTTGGCCTAAGCAACTGGGAGGATGGTAATTCCAACTTTCTTTCTTTCTTTTTTTTTAGAGACAGAGTCTCACTTTGTTGCCTAGGCTAGAGTGAGTGCCGTGGCGTCAGCCTAGCTCACAGCAACCTCAAACTCCTGGGCTCAAGCAATCCTTCTGCCTCAGCTTCCCGAGTAGCTGGGACTACAGGCATGCACCACCATGCCCAGCTAATTTTTTCTATATATATTAGTTGGCCAATTAATTTCTATTTATAGTAGAGACAGGGTCTCGCTCTTGCTCAGGCTGTTTTCGAACTTCTGACCTCGAGCAATCCGCCCGCCTCAGCCTCCCAGAGAGCTAGGATTACAGGCCTGAGCCACCGCGCCCGGCCCCAACTTTCTGACAAAGTAAAAATCTAAGGAAGAGATTTAGCAGAAGGGAACAATGTTCCACTTCTAGATGCTTAATTAGAAGTCTAATATCCTAAGGTGGGCATAGCTTGACATTCTCAATGATCAAAAAGGTCAGTGTGAGGAGAGCATAATGAGTAAAGGGAGTGACATGGGGCAAGCTCAAGAGACGGAGGGAGGTGACAAATAATATAAGGCCTTTTAAAATTTGGTAAGAAGTTTGGATTTTAAGTGCAACAGGAAGCCACTAAAGGCTTTCAGGCAATCGAGACACACATGACTTGTTATGAAAACATTCTGACCCTAGATGAAGAATGGATTGTAGACAGAAAAGGAGACTAATTACAGCAGTTCCTAACCATTTTGGCACCAGGGACCGGTTTCATGGAAAACAATTTTTGCACAGACCAGGGGGAGGAGTATGGTTTTGTGATGATTCAAGTGCATTACATTTATTTGTGTACTTTATTTCTATTATTATTACATTGTAATATATGATGAAATAATTATACAACTCCCCATAATGCAGAATCAGTGGGAGCCCTGAGCTTGCTTTCCTGCAACTAATACCGCTGCTGATCTGACAGGAGGCGGAGCTCAGCCGGTGATGTGAGCAATGGGGAGTAGCTGTAAATACAGATGAAGTTTCTGCTCATGTACCACTCACCTCCTGCTGTGTGGCCCAGTTCCTAAAAGGCCATGGCCTGGTACTGGTGCTTGACCCAGGGATTGGGGACCAGAGAGTGAGAAGATACAAAAGTCCAAGTGAAAGATGATTTAGACTTGAGTGGTGACAATGCTGATGAAGAGAAGATGGATACATTTTGGAAAGACACTAGGAAGTGAACTAGATGTGGGGAGAGAGGAGCAACAGAGGGTTAAAGACGACTCCTAGGATTTTTTGCTTGAATAATGGTGTCATTTATTGAGTTAGGTCAGAAAACCTCTAAGAGTGAAAGGTATTTAGAAACCGAAAGCAAGCATAACACATTATATCTAATAATAGCTAAACTAGTATTTAATAGTTTATAACCTATTTACAGCATAGTAACTGGAAATAAAATACCAATAAACCACCTCATTAGCATGGTTAAGTGCTTGCTTATAACACTTGAGGGCTCAAGGAAGAGCATCTTCCTGCCCTTCCTAGTGCAGGGGGTGGGGCAGTACGGGGGCTGAAACCGTGGGACAGCAGGAAGCTGCACAGTGACAAGGTTGTGGGGGGTTCAGGCTATAAGAGTTAAGTCTAGTGGCCAAGAATATAGGGTGGTGAGGCACTGGGAAGCCTCATCATGGAATGAGCCGGTGGGCAGGGTGGACAACGAAATGGGGTGGAGGGGACAGTAATATCAGACAAGAGACAGCCAGGAGAGCTGGTTGAGAGATTAGTTACATTGATCAAATAAGTAAATTGATTGAGGACATAAGTTAAATATAACGAGGCTAATGGAAGCCAAGTTTTGACTACTGAAGAAAGTTTTTACAAACATGGAAACGTTATGGATAGAAAGAACCCTGAGGTATAGGATTGGAGTTGGAGGTATCCATATGGACACATGGTTTTATATACATGCAGATATAGAAAGTTGCAGATGTATGTTCATGTGTAAATATACATGTGTACATATACACATACCATACATATAATTCCTAGATCTGTCCACTGAGAGTACCTACATGTAGTGACATCCTGTCAGCAATGAGCACACTGTATGATCTAATCTGAATATCATCCTTCAATAAAAAGAAGCAGGTTCCTTGGAGAAATGGCTGATTCCAATGCTAAGGCAGGAAAAATAAAAGCTGGGCCTGGAATGCCCTGTGCCAAAAAGGACATGCTCAGCTAGTGATGGACACATCACAAAAGGACCAAAGTGACAGCTGGAAGGGTTTCCGACTCAGGAGCAATGGGAGCATCAAAATCAATGATAGTAACAGATCAAACCTGTTGAATCAAAGAGAAATCCACAAGCCCGTACTGGTATAAATAAGGAAGAAAGGAAAGTTCTTCCATATAGTAGACTGACAATAAATGTAGAAGAGTTGATAGGCATAAAGAATTATTATTCAGCAACCATCACAGAAGTGGATAATTCAGGCAGATATCACAACAGATGCTATGGTTGATACATGGAAGTTTGGTGAGGAATAGGATGGATATGGGCAAAATCCTAGAATATCTTCCTATGAAAAAGTGATCAATCACAAAAAGGAAAATGGCAAATTTAAAATGGTGAGAACTGGTAGGTACCCATATGACCCTTTTGATATGATCATCTGAGAAGAATGTGGCACACTTCTGTGCATTCCTGCCAAGATTGCATGGCCTAAGTCAATCTTAAGGAAATATCAGATGAACCCTGGTTGAGGGTCATCCTACAGAACCTAAGGTCTGTACTCTTTTTTTTTCTTTTTTTTTTTTTTTCAAAAGATCTCCTCAGTCCAATGAGGTCTGTACTCTTAAAAAGCTGTCGAGAGCATGAAAGAAAGACTGAGAAACTCTGACTGAAGGTACTTGAAGAGATGATAATTAAATGAAATATATATTTCTGAATGAGAAAATGGATCATGAAAGAAAGAGATGGAGTTGATCCAGCTGATGAAATTGGAATGGGGTCTATGCATCCGATGGTAGTGTTTTATTGTTGACTTCTTGACTTGGAGGGTTATAAGGAAAAATTGTTTTGTTTTTGCAAATATGTACTACAATGTTTAGGGATGGTGGGACATCATGTCTGAAGACTACTTTCAAAATGTTCAGAAAAAACTAATTCGTGTTAATAGTCACACAACTTTGTGAATACTAAAAATGAAGGAAGGAAGGAGGTAGGGAAGAAGGGGGGAGACTAATGATTGTGCAGAAAGGGTAGGGGAGAGGATGGAGATGGAGAGCAGTAAAATGTTAAAATTGCGGGAATTTGGGAAACGGGGTTAAGGGTTTTTTGTACAGTTCTGGCAACATTTCTCTGAGTATGAAATGATTTCAAAATATATTTTTAAAAAGCAATTCGCATATGATTAGGAATAAATACTCCAAAAGGAAGGCTATCAAGAATGCTAGCACTTAAAATTAAGATGCTTAAAACAAAAATTAAGACTCTAGTACTCAGCCTTTAAGAATTCTCACAACAGCCCTAAGCCTGTAAAGAAGTGTGGGGCTACAAAATAGAAAAGTAGTGGAATTACCTTACACCCATCTGGCACTAATAGTCCAGAAAAATGTGTGAATAAGAGAGAAAGGAAATAAATTAATAAATAGCTTCACTGTTCTCTTTTTTTACTCTCTCTAAACCATTTTGCCCATCCTCTATTTTGTTCCGCATAATCCAAATTACTCCTAATTTTACCCATAATTTTCCTGTTTCCTTTAAAAATTTTCCTCTCTCAACTTCAATTTGACATATATCAAATCATATGCCTAAAAAGACTCTGAAAATTTTACAAAACATTTTCACCTGGGGTTAGGGGCGGTTGGTACACAGCAAACGTGAGGAGATAAAAGATTATGGCTCATTAAACTAAATTAACTGAAAGCCACTGTACCACACCGTCCTAGCTGTGAGACATTCTATTACTAATTTCATTTTAGGAAATCCTCCAGAGAAATCTAAAGGCCTAATGAAACCAAGACAGTCAACCAATGATAAAGCCAATTCTGACCATATTGCCAGGCTATGTTCACTTATAAATCACACAGGCCCTTACCTTGGCTGCCTTAAATAACATTTCTCTTTCTTCTAAATCTTTTCTTTGTTTCTCCAATTGATCCAGCTTTTCAAGAAATTTGAGCTGTGACCTGGTATCACTACATGGGATGTAATTTTCACTTGCCTGGGGAGAAAAAAAAAAGAAAGAAAGTCATATGAATTCCACATTAAGTATTGTTATAAATCAGCTAAAGAGTATCACCTAAATTAACAAAAAGCTAAATTTTCAGAAAGTAATATTTTTGTTTCTGTTAAATAAACTTACCCCTAAAAAACCCACGGAACTATCATCTTTAAAATTTGAGAGGTGATTAACCATTTATGTTTCAAAGAGTTTTCCTAATGAACTCCATTCAGAAGGGGGAAAGAGGTATTAAGCCAAGCAGATCCTAACAATAGGAAGTAGAAAGCAAGAGAATAATGACATTTGCCTATAAACTAAATCTTTTTCATTAAATTATAATTTACCTCAGCAGATCTTAATACCAGTAATAAAACTTTAGGCCTATGAAAAACAAAAAGAAAGAATCACCTCCATGAAAAATATACCAAAGACAAAAGTTATCACTCTGGTTACCATGGTTGGTTACTTGGTCACCATCAGTTCAACTTGACTAGTGAATAGAACTTCTATTGAAATACAACATATGACAAGATGGCAAACATTAAAATACTGAAACCCTGTTTTGAGGATTCCCTTAAGGTATGAATTTGGACAGAAACTGTAGTCAAAAAATTTAAGTATATAAATCATAAATGAGCACTAATATAGAAGTATGATTATTTATCTTATTTGTTCCATAAAATGATAGAATTCAAATTGTTCCATTTATTCTGATATTCTAGACTGTAAAACAGTACCTTCCAACCTGAATACTTTCTAACATTCTTGCCTACATGATCACCCCTGCCTCCTCTGCAGTACCTACAGCAGTGTGTGTGCTAGAGGCCAGGAGAGTGGGGGCCTTCCCAGTCAGTGGTTAAGACATCCAGCCATGTATTCATCTCAGTGATTTACACACCCCAAGGAGCCTACACAGCAGAAAGCTGAATGTTTTTAAGCAGTTGGCTCAATAGTCAGTGCCTGGCCTGGAAATTATGGGTATAACACCAGTCCCATCTCTGTTTTATCCCCATGCTAATGGCTGATTCAATTAACAGGGACTGAGAGATTTCATATGCCCAAGATTCTTTTTAAATTAAATTTTTATTGTTGGTATTTAACTAGATCAAAAGAGTATTACAGAGTTTAAGGAATAAGGATGTATTAGTGCTACTTACTTTACTTCATGTTTAATACAAAAAGAATTCCCAAATGTTTTTAAAGTTAAATAGCACAAGATAGAATATGGAATACATTATAGGCTAACCATAGAGGTTAAACATAATAACAAGTGGTATTTTAAATACTTCATCTTTACTATTTTTCTGTTCAGACACTCTGGAGATAGTTTACTGACAGGATTTAATTTAAAAGGGACAACGAAAACTAAATTTAAAGGGGACATAGACTTTCTAAATTTTAACCCAATCGTATTCCCATGCTAAAATTCCTTCCTCTCTTCCCTACAACTTGCATACAATTGCCTCTGACATAATCTATTAAAAGGATTTGTTCTGCAAACTTTGAATTCAGTCAAAAGGCCACACTCAAGGATCCAGAAGGCCACATGTGGCCCCAAGGCTGCAGGTCCCCACCCAAATGAAGTAGAGGCTGGTGGAATGAATAAAAAACAATCAAACTATATGCTCTCTGCACTTTAGGCAAAACCATAGCAATAAGCTGAAAGTGAAAGGATGGAAAAAGGTATTCCATGTAAACGATAACCAAAAGAAAGTATGGGTGGTTGTACTAATATCAGAGAAGACAGACTTAAGTCAAAAATTGTTCATTTTATATTGATAGAGACATTATATATTGATAGAAGCATCAATCAATCAAGAATATATACACACCCAAACAAGAGTTCTCAAATATATGAGCAAACAAACGCTGGCAGATTTTTAAAAATAGATAGTTCTATAATACTTACAGATTTTTAACCTTTTACTCAAGTATTACTTTCAATAATAGTTGAGTATCTAGATAGATGATCAATAAGAAAGTAAAGGACTTAACACTATAAACCAACTATATCTGACAAATATGAACACAATACCGAACAAAAGTAGAATATACATTCCACTCAAGTGCATACAGAACATTCTCTAGAATAGACTATATGTTAGGTCACAGAACAAGTCTCAATAAAGTTTAAATGACTGAATCATTTAAATTATTTGCTCTGACCACAATGAAATAAAGCTAGAAATCAAAAACAAAGGAAAACTGGAAAAGTCACAAGTATGTGGAAATTAACACACTCTTAAATAACCAATGGGTCAAAGTAATATCAAAGGAAATAAGAAAATACTTAGAGACAAATGAAAATGAAACACAACATACCAAAACTTATAAAATGCAGCGAAAGCAATGCTCAGAGGGAAATTTAGAGCAGTAAATGCCAATATTAGAAAAGGAAAATCTCAAATCAACAACTGAACATTATACTTTATGGAACTAAAAATAGAAAAGCAAACTACACCCAAAGTTAGAAGAAGGGAGAAAATAATAAAGACTTGAGTAGGCCAGGCGTGGTGGCTTACACATATAATCCCAACACTTTGGGAGTCTGAGGCAGAGGATCCCTTGAAGCTAGGAGTTCTAGGCTGCAGTAAGCTATAATCAAGCCACTGTATTCCAGCCTGTGTGACAGAATGAGACCCTGGCTCTTAATAAAAAAAAAGTATTATAGTGGAGATAAATGAAACAGAATAGAAAAACAATAGAGAAATTTAATGAAACCAAAAGTTGGTTCTTTGAAAAAAAAATCAACAAAATTGACAAACCATTAGCTAGATTGACAAAAAAAGAGAAGTAAATCACTAAAATCAGAAATGAAAGGCGGATCATTACTACTGATCTTACAGAAATAAAAAAGATTGTAAGAGAATATTATGAAGTTTTACAGCAACAAAGCAGATAACCTGGGAGAAACAGACAAATTCCTAGAAACACACAAAAATAGATACTGATATTAATTTTGTTTTTTCCACAGCCTTTTCTCCTGTTGATCATGTATTTTGAAGCCAGTCCAGCCAATTCTCACAAAGATTCATGCAAGTGAAGACCTCAGCAAGTATATATAGTTCTTCCAAAGTTCTAAATTAAGTAGAAAGGAAAGAAAACAGAATGATTCCTCCAGGGAACTTACTGGTAGTATGGTAGCTGGTATTTTCCTGAATTCCTTTTAATCTATGGCTAGGATACTATGGGGCAATGACCATTTTTGCAAACTCAATATCTCATAAGGTTAACTACACACCATCTTGTTCAAAAACTAGCTGTCAGCATTTCTTGATAAAAAGGGAAAGGGTTATCTTATTTTTCTTATCCTAGGTTATCATTTTTTTCATACCTAATCACCTAATATATTTTACCCTCCTCCAAATGTATAATTCAAACATACCAAGTTTTTTCATTTTGATAACAGCAATTCATTTGGTTCATACCACTAGAGATAAGACAGGTATTTTTGCATTTAGTTTTGTTACAACAGTAGTCAATAACAACAATGAGTGGGATCAGTATTAGCACTCAATGCACTTATTAAAAGGAACAGAGGAGGAACAAGTGGAAATACCTAAAATGTAGAACATGAGGACTATAGTTAATGATATATTCTATTCAGGATTTTGCTAAATGAGTAGATTATAGCTGCTCTTGTCACAAAAGGGAAAAATGGGTAACTATGTGAGATGATGGATATGTTAATTTGTTCTATATAGTAACAGTTTCACTACATATGTGTTAATATATAACATGTTGTAAGCCTTAAATATACACAATGAAGTTTGTTTTAAAATAAATAAATCTCTGCAAAACTTAAAGGCAAAAAAAAAAAAAAAAAAAAAGAAAAGAGGAACAGGAATGCTAACAGAGTACAGCCAATATTCTACTTTAAGATATCCTCCTTCCCAGTCAAAAGCTTAAGGAGCCTCAGCAGAACAGCAAATGAAATACATATTTCAATCTACACTGACATAGAAGCTTTGGATATCATTTTACACTCTATTTTAATTTTATTCATCATGTAATCATATCTAAATAAGGCAAATTAAGAACAAGACTTTGATTTGCTACTAATATGAAATATGTCTCAATCACTGCTTTAAAAATATATTTAGAATATAAATTCATGCCCAAAAATCTACCTATAACACTCAAGGCTTTGTACTTCTTTAATGATTTCCTTTACCTTGTAAGTAGTCATTCGATGCTGAGCAATTGCAGTCAGTTTTTCTAGAAGGCCTCGTAATCGCTCCTGTGTTGCATGGGAGATCAAGTTCACAACATCAGAGTTAAATTCTGTAATGTCATGCTTTTTACCTGTGAAAGCAGAGAAAATCCATTACGTGTTTTAGTAGTGGCTGATAATTGAAATAATTAGCACAGCAGGTATTCTGTTCCCCCTGGAAGTCATACCCATTATGAATAAAGGTTTAGAGATTATGATTTTCCTGGTAAAGTCACAACTTCAAAGATCTTAGACATTACATTAATAAAACCTAGCCTGAAGCCTCAGAAAATATAGACATTGTTTCATTTAGCCTCTAGAATCATTCTCCTTGCAAGGTCATTTATAGGACAAAGTTAATAAGAACACAAATCAAGTCTAGTGTTCAGGGAGGAAAATGGTAACTGCAGAAATTAGTGCCGTATTCTGTTAATTTTAGTAATTAAAAAAATAGAAAATTACATTTTGCCCTGTTTGACACTGTTAACAATTTATGACATTTATTTCAATGAATTCAGACTCTGAGTCTCTGTTAATGCCTGTCTACAAGACATACCTATATTCCTTTTTTCCATTACTAATCATGCTTATTTAACATTAACTGATGTTTTCATAAATTGACCTGGTAATCAATTTACACGTTGAAAGGAGTTCAAAGTCTTATCATTTCATCCACCTATTTAAATAATTTGTCTCTCACTAGATTGCCTTTCCATAAATAAACCAAACTTTTCTTCCTTCTGCTAACAAGGAAGAAAGTTTTAAGGAAACAATTTGGTCCACATATTCAGAGGGAAAAGTTCATTTACAAACCAACCTTATCAATATTTAAATAGTATTTCTGAGGCACGGTGAAAACACCTCTATCAATAAGCACCCAAACCTAAAAATATAGATAATTAGGGAGCCTAATTTAAATGAATTTTTAAAACCACTACTATTATTGTTTTTAACACACAGAATTTTTTGAAATATTGTTTGATTTCCCATTCTAATTTTTTTTGCCTCAATTTCGCCATCTGTAAACCATTCTAATTTATTTTAAACATATTTTTAAATTCTCATCAAAAGGTGAATGACTATAACAGAAATATGCTTTAATTAAAAGTCAACAACTCTTGGACGGGCACAGTGGCTCACGCCTGTAATTCTAGCACTCTGGGAGGCCAAGGCAGGAGGATCACTCAAGGTCAGGAGTTCGAGACCAGCCTGAGCAAGAGCGAGACCCCCTCTCTACTAAAAATAGAAAGAAATTAATTGGCCAACTAAAAATATATAGAAAAAATTAGCCAGGCATGGTGGCCCATGCCTGTAGTCCCAGCTACTCAGAAGGCTGAGGCAATAGGATCGCCTGAGGCCCAGGAGTGTGAGCTAGGCTGACGCCATAGGACTCTAGCCAGGGCAACAGAGTGAGACTCTGTTTCAAAAAAAAAAAAAAAGAAAAATAACAAATAAAATCAAGATACCTTTGATAAAAAGGAATACAGAGAAAGGATTTACACTCTCGGATATAAAGATGAATAATGACATTATAACAATCAAAACTACCAAATATTAACATCAAAATAAAACAAAAACATGTCACTCAAAAAAAAAAAAAAAGTCAACAACTCTTAAATATTCTTTGACATTATTACACAATAAAACCAATAGAAAAAAGATATAAAATTATCAAACCTGTCCTAAACCAAGCCTTCAAATTCATTACTTTGTATTATAGTAAAACTGAATTCCTCTCTCATCTCTGATTCGAGCAGAGAAAAAATACTACAAAAATCAAATTTACTTTATTAAAACTCACAGCATAAACAAATAGTGCAGCCTTTTACAGCTGCAGTCCCAACCCCTGGGCTGCAAAGCGGTAGGTAGGCGGCCTGTTAGGAAACCATGAGGAACCAGGCCAAACAGCAGGAGATGAGTGGCAGGCAAGAGGGCAAAGCTTCATCTGCATTTACAGCCACTCCATATTGCTCGCATCACCACCTGAGCTCCGCCTCCTGTTAGATCAGCAGCAGTATTAGTTGCAGGAAAGCAAGCTCAGGGCTCTCACTGATTCTGCATTATGGTGAGTTGTATAATTATTTCATTATATATTACAATGTAATAATAATAATAGAAATAAAGTAAACAATGAATGTAATGGGCTTGAATCATCCTGAAACCAAAAACTGTCTGCCATGAAACCTGTCCCTGGTGCCAAAAAAGTTGGGGACTGCTGTTCTATAAAAGAGACAGTATAATTTCAAAACAATCCAATATTTAAAATTACAACTAAATATAGGGTAGATAGGGGATGGCATGTTATTTCATGTTAAGAAAAATAAGCATTTAAAAATATTTAGTGTTTGGGGAGAATCTTTAAAATTAATTTCATATGCATTTATAAAACACAAGTAATTCACCCAACAATAAATTCATATTTTTAAAATATTGAAATAAACAGGTGCTGCGATTAAACAATTTCAGGGCTCAAGAACTAAATGTTCTAATTCTTTCACTATATTGGTAATAAAACACAACTTACAGTTACAAAGTTAAATATTGTAGAAAAATCCCCTTTTAAATATTAATAAAACACTTTTTAACAAAGTCAGCAAAACTGATTAAGGAAATCTAGCTGATGCTTGAACTCTAGTTATGTGATTTTTATTAAATGTTTGTATAATTTAATTTTAGGTAATTAGAAAAAAAGAAAAATCATTGCCATTTAATCTCCTAACATGATTTAAAAAGAAAAATCCTTTTTCCAAAAAAAAAAATCCTTTGGGTAAATTTGTAATTTCTGTTTTTAAGGGATGGTCTTGGATCTGATCTATTCTATAAAGATGAAATTTTATTATTAATAATAATATAAATGGAAAACATTCCTAGAAATACATAATTCAATTCATTCTATGGTTTTCCTTTTTTAAAAAAGCTTAGATCATTCAGAAGAACTTTTGCAGTTTTCTATCATATTGTAAGTTGTATTTCACCATTAAGAACTGAAATGTATAGTTGTCCCCTTGTTCTCATAAACTGGAGATTGCCAAACTACAGCTAACAGTCAAATATGATCTCTCTTTGTAAATGAAGATTATGAGACTACAGTTGTAATGGACTGAATGTTTCTGTTCCCCCAAATTCATGTTGAATCCCTAACCCAATGTGACAGTACTTGGAGTGGAGACTTTAGGAGATAATTAGGTCATAAAGGTACAACCCTCACAAATGACATAAGTACCCCACGCCAGAGAACAAGCTAGCTCCCTTTTGGCCAAACGAGAATGAGAGGAAACTGGCTGTATCAAAACCAGGAACAGGGCCTTCACCAAGAACCTGACGCTGTTGGCACCCTGATCTCAAATGTCCAACCTCCAAAACTGAGAAATAAATGTCCTTTAAGCCATCCAGTTTACGGTCTTTTGTTATAGCAACCCAAGCTAAGACAATACTCTTGCCCGTTTGTTTACATATTGTCTATGGTTGCTTTGTGCACTATGATAGTTGAGCAGTTGTGACAGAGACCATATGGACAACAAAGTGGCAACTATTTATTAACTGGCCTTTTGGGGGAAAAGGGTGCTAATCCCTGTCCTAAGTGTTCGAAAACACTCTTTCAGTGCTAAAAATGTTTCTATCATATAATCTAGGTTTAAATTAAACTAGAGGCCGGGCGTGGTGGCTCACGCCTGTAATCCTAGCACTCTGGGAGGCCGAGGCGGGCGGATTGCTCGAGGTCAGGAGTTCAAAACCAGCCTGAGCAAGAGCGAGACCCCGTCTCTACTATAAATAGAAAGAAATTAATTGGCCAACTAATATATATAGAAAAAATTAGCCGGGCATGGTGGCACATGCCTGTAATCCCAGCTACTCGGGAGGCTGAGGCAGCAGGATCACGAGTTTGAGGTTGCTGTGAGCTAGGCTGACGCCATGGCACTCACTCTAGCCTGGGCAACAGAGTGAGACTCTGTCTCAAAAAAAAAAAATTAATTAATTAATTAATTAATTAAACTAGAAATAAAATTTGTATAGGAAGGTATAAATGGATAAAACTAAGTAACTATAAATATTCCACCAAATCTTTAGATAATTATATGTCATTAAGGGGTTAAAATATTAGTAAATTTTCCAAGCTATTACAGTAAGGTATAGTGCTTAGGCTTGTTCTATAATACAATTAAGGAACAATACAAATACAATACAAAATATATACGCAAACAAGGAAATGGAAGGCAGGCAGGGAGGCAAAACACAAGCTAACAGCAAACACTTTACCAATACCTCTTCTTAATTCCTATCTTGCAGAAATGTAAATTATAATTTTTCACAACAAAACAAAGATAATGGATCTTCAATTTAAATTAGAAATTTAAAACAGTGGTCATTTGTATAGCATGCAGTAGGTCAAACATTTATTTACTAAGTAATTGTGAAGTAGACCTAAAATATTTATTACTAATATATTTTATAGTCCTTAAATATACCATGGGTGTATAAAAATCAGAAGCCTTCACAATTTTTTTTTTTTTTTTTTTTGAGACAGAGTCTCACTTTGTTGCCCAGGCTAGAGTGAGTGCCGTGGCGTCAGCCTACCTCACAGCAACCTCAAACTCCTGGGCTCAAGCGATCCTACTACCTCAGCCTCCCGAGTAGCTGGGACTACAGGCATGTGCCACCATGCCCAGCTAATTTTTTCTATATATATCAGTTGGCCAATTAATTTTTTCTATTTATAGTAGAGACAGGGTCTCGCTCTTGCTCAGGCTGGTTTTGAATTCCTGACCTCGAGCAATCCACCCGCCTTGGCCTCCTAAAGTGCTAGGATTACAGGCATGAGCCACCTCACCCAGCCCAAATTTTATGTTATACTTTTATTATAAAATATAAAGGTCTTACTCAAGTATATTCAATGCTTATTAGTACTGGCCCCCAAAATTTGACACGGGTCAAGTACAGCTAGTCTCTATTAAGTCCCAGGGTCAGGCTACAAGAAATGATTTAACTCACATACAACAATCTCTCTCCAATTTGTCTCTTTTTTTCAGCTAATTTGGGGAGATTGCAGTCTTTCACATTACTGTAAGTTTGGAATCAAACAACAATTAAAAGCTGTTCAGTTTCAGAATAGCAGCAGTATGTTCTCACCCATTTTCTTTCACACACTGCAGCTACATAACAACTATACTACTGGACCTAGAGAAAACCCTAAGATTCTAATCCGGTTCTTTTAAAGTAAGGATGGGTTTAAATTTCAGAGTAAAGGGAAAAGGGACTTACTCTCATTGGCTGTCCCTATATTTCATAAACAAAACATGTAACGTAAGTGGGCATTTGGACACATACATGCCTAAAGGCAAAGCAAGGAATGACCAGGACAGAAAAAAAAATAATATATTATATATTCATGTAAACATAAACTCAACTTTTTCCCTATTAAGAAATATGAATAAAATATGAACTTCTATTATCAAAACCCAAAACCATAGATTATATAATTTAAGTCACAGTAATCATTTTTAAAATAAAATACTTCTTTCTGTAACACCCATGAAATCTTGATTTCTAGAGCCTTACTTATTTAAGCCTCAGAGTTCCTGGACAACCAACCCAGGTGGTCTCTTATGATAATACTTTGCTCAAAAAAGACATTTCTATCAGGTCAATAACCATAAACTCTGTACTTACCAATGTCTAAAATTCTCTTTTGTAGAGCTCCAATGAAAAGAAAGGGTTCATCTTTACATGACTGAATGAGCGTGCCAATCAACTCAGAGTTTGTTGCTAAGACACAGGCATTTTCTTCACTGAGGTTGACCCCTGCCATGGAAGTCACATCATTGATGTCATCTTCCTCTCTAATAGAAAAAAAAGTTGTAGTTTTTTTGTGGGGTACATATATATGTGTGTACGTATGAATGACGTGTTTCAGAGAGAAAAAGAATCATAGACCTCTCTTCATAACTAATGATATTATTTTACTTAATTTATCCAACCAAGAAGAGAATTAACAAAAATAAAAAATAAAAAAATAAAAAAAAAAGAAGAGAATTGAAGAAAGACTATCTTTCCCTCTAAGCCTTTAAAATTAATTGGTGTCCCTAACCACTAGTGTACATCTAATATCAGAAAGATGAATCAGAAGCAACTTTGTCTGCGAGGGTGCATCTTTCCCTCTCTCAATTTGGTAAATGAGATATACCTAGAGGTATCTGGAGTTAGACTAATTCATTTACAAATCCTCTACAGTGAAAGACAAAGAAATGAAAATAGACATCTTTGTTTTCACCCAAGTGCCTCAGATTTCCCAGTGCACACCACTGTTCCACTGAAGGCCAGCAGAAACTGCCTGGTCCTGAAAGGTCAGCACCCACATCCCTTGAGAAGAAGCTTACTCAACTAGCTTTTCCAAAACCAAGCCACTAAAACTACTTTTGTCTTCTGCTTCAGACTTTTGGTGTGCTCCATATGTACCAATTGAATTCATTAAACCACATCCTCAAGCAATTGGCTGCAAAGGGCTTATAGATAAAATGTAAAATTACACATACACATATACATACATATACACACAATGTCATATAAAGAACATATATATAAAACACAAACTACATTTGGGCTCCTTGCTTTGCACCAGCAAAACCAAACAGTTGTTTTTATCTGACAGAATTGCTACCTGGCCACAGCACTAAGATGAGTAAACAAAGGCTGTCTGGAAAGTATCCAGCCATTGTTACCATAACAAGAATGGTTACATGGCTGGATACTTTCCGGACAGCCCTCATATATATTTAAGCATAGAGAAGAGACGGAAGAAAGAAATATAAAATTCCCTCACAGCATCCTTACCACCTTATGTAATAACAAGCACTTTACTGGTTATAATTCATACAACAATGCAAAACACAAACAAGATTATATAAAAAAGATATTGTTTCTCTTTATTGCATGGGCTAAATGGTACATATCATGTGGTCTCATGTCAAAGATTTAAATTACAAACCTCCCTGTGGTAATGCATTTGTGTGGAGGCAAGGAAAATAATTATAATTGTCAAATGTTCAAGAAATTCAGGCCTCTAGTGCTCAACTTTTAAAAACAATATGTTAGGGATGAGGGGGAAAGAACCCATATTCAAACATATATAAGAGATGCAAGCCAAATGAAACAAAGTGCTAGACACAGCAACTGAACATAAAGAGAAAAGCACAATGGTCTTATCATCTGAATGGTATAACAAAATCTCAACATTAAAATGTATGTTGCCTTTTCATAAGATGGCACAGAAGGTGAAGCAGGAGGCTCCTGCCCCTCCCAAAGCCAAAGCAAAGGCTTTGAAGGGCAAGAAGGTAATGCTTCGCAGTGGCTCACGCCTATAATCCTAGCACCTGGGAGGCCGAGGCAGGTGGATTGCTCAAGGTCAGGAGTTTAAAACCAGCCTGAGCAAGAGCGAGACCCCAGTCTCTACTATAAATAGAAAGAAATTAATTGGCCAACTAATATATATAGAAAAAATTAGCCGGGCATGGTGGCGCATGCCTGTAGTCCCAGCTACTCGGGAGACGGAGGCAAGAGGATTGCCTAAGCCCAGGAGTGTGAGGTTGCTGTGAGCTAGGCTGATGCCATGGCACTCACTTTAACCTGGGCAACAAAGTGAGACTCTGTCTCAAAAAAAAAAAAAAGAAAGTAATGCTTAAGGTATCCACAGCCACACATACACACAAAGATTCATACATCGTGCAATTTCCGGCGGATGAAGATGCTGCGGCTGGCGGCTCCAGAGGCAGCCCAAATATCCTTGCAAGAGCACCCTCAGGAGAAACTAGTTTGACCACTATGCCATCATCAAGTTCCCCCCATCACTGAGTGTGCCATAAAGAAGACGGGAGACAACACACTTGTGTTCCTTGCGGATATCAAAGCCAACAAGCACCAGATCAAATAGGCTGTGAAGAAGCTCTTTGACATTGATGTGGCCAAGGTCAACACCTTGATCAGGCCTAATGGAGAGAAGGTGGCATATGTTTGATTCACTCCCAATTACAATGCTTTGGGTGTTACCAACAAAATTGGGGTCATGTTAACCAAGTCCAGTTGGCTAATCCTAAATATGTATTTTTGTACCATTAAAAAAAAAGTATGTCTCTGTAATAGGAAAAAGAAAAAAAGTTACCTCAGGCTGGCACGGTGGCTCCCACCTGAAATCCTAGCACTCTGGGAGGCTAAGCGGAATGATCACTTGAGGTCAGGATTTCAAGACCAACCTGAGCAAGAGCACACCCTGTTTCTACAAAATATAGAAAACTTAGCAGGGTGTGGTGGCTTGGGCCTGTAGTCCCAGCTACCCAGGAGGCTGAGGCAAGAGGACTGCTTAAGCCTAGAAGTTTGAGGTTGCAGTGAGCTAAGATGACGCCACTGTACTCTAGCCAAGACTCTGTCTCAGGGAAAAAAAAAGTCATCTCTCAAACTACCAAATGAAACATGCAGTTTAAAGAAAATGGTTGGACTCCAAAGGTATTGACAGAGATACAGGATGCTGAGCATGGCTCTGAGAACCACCTTGTCCCATATGTAAATAAGTTAGTATATCTAGACTTAAATATTAAACATCTAAAGTATAAGAATGGTAGATATCATAAGCCTAAAGAAGAACCAAAATCTGAGTAAAATAATATTTTCAAGGGCCTGAGTAAATATTTTTAAAAGACCAAGTAAATATCAGTTAAAAGTCAGTTCACAGCAAAAGAGAATCCTAACCAGTTACTTAACATCTTTGGGATTCAGTTTCCTCCTCCAAAAAAGGAAAAAAATGAATAACTCAGATGCTTTCTAAGTTTTCTCTCAGCCGCTTAAAAGAATGAGCTCTCTTTGGACTGACTTAAAACGAACAGACTGCACCTTGACTACATACAAGCTTATATGGGCATAATATATCTTTGGAAAGATACATGAAAAATTGTCCTCTGCAGGGGGAAATAGGAAAGTGGGGATAGGAAGAAGACTTACTTTATACCTTATTATACCCCTTTCTAACTTTTGAATGTTGTACTGTGTATGTGGATTACCTAATCAAAATGATTAGTGATATCAAAAATAACATTTAGGGAAAGAAAACTAAAGATGAGATAGAATAAAATGAAGTTTAAACATATAACTTCATCCTTCCTTAAAATAAACCTGGAGTTATTAAAGGTAATGCCGCATGGCCTTTATACAATATACATACACACAACATTGAGTGCCTCTAATCTCAGATGTGTGCCAGGCACACAAGCCCCTGTAAACTGCACCTTGCTTCTGTAGCAGGGTTCCTATACAGCCCTGTTAACATCTCACACACAGGATGCAGAGACCAGTCCCAGGCTAACTTAACTATCAGTACCTAACATAGTACTTAGAATCAAACAGAATCCAGTTAATGAGGGGACAGTCCCATGTCTTTGAATAGAATTGTGCAGCCTTTCCCTATAAATAAGCAGAGAACTAAATGCCCACTAAGATTGGTTCTTGCCGGCCATCCCTCCTTCTATCTGGCCTCAAGCTGAATACAGCTCCCTCTAGTACAGCTGCCAGTTACCATGGTTACAGATGGCAGTAGGAGTAGAGAATACTATTGAGGGAAGAGGAAAAGGTACCACAATAAACAGCACCCACACCATTTAAAACTTCCTCTAAGAAAGGAGGTTAACTGAAGGAAAGAAAAGACAACACAGTGTTTTAGCAGCATTATCAGTAATGGTAAGATAGGCCAGGACAGTAACAAAGGCTTTGATACTGAGGGATATTTGTGATTATGGTTTGGTTTTAATTTTAAGAGAGACAAAAGCAAGAATCACTGAACCAATTCTTCAAGTTTTCTAGTCTGATGCAGTGTCTTCTGATGAAGGTGCTATTAAAGACAATCTGTTTTGTTTTAAAAGATATTCAGAAAAACGAACTGAAGACTGCCTTAGTACAAAAAGCCTTCAAACTCAAGATTCTATGGGGTGTAGTAGAGTACTATGCAAAAATTACAAAAAATATCACTCATTTATCAGAAATGCCTTGCATTCTGGCTTCTGAAACTGATCTAATTCTTTAGCTTTTGATAAAGTTGACCATTGCTCATGCCTGCCTTCTTAAATATCTTCCACCCTCAACACCTGTAACAGCACTAGACTAATTCTTCTAAAGTAGAGTGAATCACATTACTCTCCTGTTCAAAAACCGTTCTTGTTTCCCTGAACTCAACCTGACATTCAAGGCTATTTTTAAATCATTTATCCAATTGCTACATCTTTTGAATTTCTGAGAATACATGTTTGTCTCTGTTATGGTAGGTCTTACTGTCTTCTTTTTTTAATAGTCAATGTGTTTGCCTTAAACTCCAACTAGACTAATTTTATTGATCATTATTATTATTATCATTATTATTATTATTATTTTTTTTTTTGAGACAGAGTCTCACTCTGTTGCCTGAGCTAGAGTGCCATGGCATCAGCTTAGCTCACAGCAACCTCAAACTTCTGGGCTCAAGCAATCCTTCTGCCTCAGCCTCCCGAGTAGCTGGGATAACAGGCATGCGCCACCATGCCCAGCTAAGTTTTTCTATATATTTTTAGTTGGTCAATTAATTTGTTTCTATTTTTTGTAGAGACAGAGTCTCTCTTTTGCGTTCAAAACGCTGGTTTCGAACTCCTGACCTTAAGTGATCCACCCACCTCAGCCTCCCAGAGTGCTAGGAGTACAGGCGTGAGCCACTGGGCCGGCCTATTGATCATTATTAATCATCATCACCTATCATGCCCAACAAAGTAGTACATAAATCATGTCTAAATATTTTAAACATTTCTATGCACTCAGAACAGCTGTTTATCTA